TTTTTTAATTTGTGGAAGGAGTTTAAGTAAAACAGAAGGCTCTCGCTTGTTTCACAATACGCACGGCTAAGCAATTTTTATTTCGCGCGCCCTCCCTTCATCCTGGTCCACTTTTAATCCCCGCAACGTGTTCCCCGTTTCCTCTTCAAGGTCGTTTTTTTTTTTTCGCGAAGCATCGATAAACGCTGCACCGAGTGCACTTTGTTTTCAGAAAGAGCGTCCTTTTTCTCTCTCTCTCTCTCTCTCTTTTCTTTTTCGTCCTATCTTTGCGTTTCTGCGTCGGGGTCAGAAGTCTCTCTCTCTCTCTCTCTCGTTAGAAAAAGAAGAATATTACGTTATATTACGTTATATTACTGAAAAAAAGCGGCATAAACGTAGTAACATGCGGCGAGAACACGCGGAGGGATCACGTGTTCGCGCGATAAATGCTTGCATCAAGATTCCACGAGATCCGGTGCATAATTCGTGGCACACACGCATGCCCCTTTCGAAATATTCACCACGGCGACACTTTCGTAGGTTTCGAGCGAAATTGCTATAATTCTCGCTCAACGGCGAGCCAATTTTTAGTCAGTTTTAATTGCTGGTAACGTGAGTTTTAAGCTCCGCCGGAGTTTCGAATTGGTTCACGATCGGTCAAAGTCTCGAATAAGCGCGATTATACAAAAGTTTCGACAACAATCGGCTCGTATACGCGCGTAACACCCGCTGCTATCCATATTTTTCTCAAAGTAATGTACATTTGTGCAGCAACAGCTTTGGGCAATGCCGATTATCGGCGCGTTACCTAAACACTAATTTGCAGTCGATTTAGAAGCAGGCGGGCACGCGAGGAAACGCGGTTTAACGAGTCGGAACAACAAATGGCATTAAACCATCAGCGTGCAATCAATGACGGTTGCCGAAGGCGTGAAGTACGTTTTACCGGACTCTATGAGTACAGAGAGAGAGAAAGTGTACATCGAAACGATGCATATTCAACGGTTCTCATATACATATGTACATACACGTTCACGGTTGCATTTCGCTTCGACGCGCGTGCAAACACACGCACGCACGCGCACGCACGCAAAAAGTTTGTCATCTAGCGGATAACGTTAATAATTATTTACTCGGCAACAATCGGTGTGCCCAACTGATGCAAATTGATGTTTGCGAACATATCAGAACGTGTTACAAGAGCATTAATTACAGTTATCTATGCTGTCGTTGTCGTCCTGGCAACATCACATTTCTTGCCGCGCTCGTGTGCACGTATGTATATATATACACACACACACACACACACATGCACACACCGTGACATACGTGTCATCGGCGCGAGATTCACATCGAGCGGTTTTTACGCGTCAAATAATAATGAGAATCAGACAGATACGTTATACGGTTTTTCGAACATCCTCTGGAAAACACGGCACAATGAATCTCCATCATTGTTACCTTTCTTCCTCCTCTCACTTTGTTGTTCGAGGATCGTTATTTGAACGAACGTCGGAATGCGTTGAAAAAAAAAAAAAAAAAAAGGGTTCCTTGGTTATACAACGCGCGGAAAAGTTAGCAAATAATCGGTATATACGATTATCTCTCTCTCTCTCTCTCTCGCTCTCTCTCGGTAGCCGATAATATTATTTAAACGGGCCGCCGCTCATCGGATATCAGAGATGGAATCAATTTCGAATCGTTATTCATGCGCATTGATAGTTTAAGCGGGAGAGAGCTCGATTTTAACATCAAATAGTTTTGCAAGCAAAATTCCATGCCAATGGGGTTATTGTTTCATTATTCAGCGGTATGTATAACGCGCTGATCCGCTTTCGAAATCACCTTTGTGAGATTCACCTTACAAGAGAGATTCTTTCTGTGTGCTGACGCGCGCATTGCATGCACGTAGACATTTTATATACATTTATGTACGTACGCGTACGTACGGTGTGCGTCCTGTTTCTGTGCATAGGTTTCCTGGGTAAGGCACAGGGATATCCATCTTTTGACCGTTGGCGTTGAAACATACACGTCCGACCAAAGATTCGTGGCATCACACTTCCCCCGAACCGAAGATTGGACGCTCCAAGTGAAATATCCTCAGCGTCGTGATTCCGGGACCTACGAGTGCCAAGTGTCAACGACACCACCGATCGGTCATTCGATGCATCTCTCCGTTGTCGGTAAGTTCGGATTGGACATCTATATATATATATATATATATATATATATATATATATATATATATATATATATATAGGCACGTAGCTTATATAATAATTGTTATTAACTATAATGTTATTAACTAAATAAATTATATATAAATAAATTATAACAAAGTAACCTATATTTTATATATATAAATTATAGTTAATAATAATATAATCATGTTAATTATAATATATAATATAATAATATAATAATATAATAAATAATATATATTATAATATAATCTATTTTGTTGTGTGTGTGTGTGTCTATATATATATATATATAGTTTACACTCTATATTCTCTCTCTCTACAAAATAGACTATATTATATATTATTTATTATATTATTATATTAATATATATTATAATTAACATGATTATATTATTATTAACTATAATTTATTATTACCTATATATATATATAGGCACGTAGCTTATATAATAATTGTTATTAACTAAATAAATTATATACAAATAAATTATAACAAAGTAACCTATATTATATATATAAATTGTAGTTAATAATAATATAATCATGTTAATTATAATATATAATATAATAATGTAATGGATAATATATATTATAATATAATCTATTTTGTAGTATGTGTGTGTGTGTGTGTCTATATATATATATATAGTTTACACTCTTAATATTCACACACACACACACACATATATATATTACAAAATAGACTATATTATATATTATTTATTATATTATTATATTAATATATATTATAATTAACATGATTATATTATTAACTATAATTTATTATTACCTATATATATACAGTTTTCACTCTTTCTTTGCTCTTGATTCACGTGTTTGTGTTTTGTTACCTTGCCGAGTTGTCGAGTCGTCGTGTCGGTTTTGTTTCATTGCCGGATATCCGTTAATTTTATTTCAGTCTGACCGTTAGACTCTAACGCAATATCTATCGGATCGCCGTTCAACACGATCGTGAGCAATTTCCCGCGGACGTTCGATACACGTCTGCGCACGCTTTTCACATTTTTTTCGCAATTTCGAAGAGAAGTTTTATCCGCGCATCAAAAGAGCAACGTTCACGCGTATACGTGTATGTTTTTTTTCCTTTTTTCAGTTAACCGGGATTAGCATTGCGTCAGTGTGCTTATTTCTATTCAAATCGGAGGAGAAATTATTATATGCCAGCAGTGATTCACCGGGATTAATTTCCTTTATTTTCTGTTTGCGCAGAACCTGTCACGTCGATCGTCGGGGAACCAGAGATGTTCATAAATAAGGATAGCACCATGAATCTCACTTGCGTGGTACGTCACAGCCCCGAACCACCGACCGCCATTTATTGGACCCACGATCACGAGGTATTGCACTCTTTTTAATATACGACTGTGTACGCGTATATACACGTATAGGTGTGTGTGTACATTGATACGTGTAAATTATTTCACGCTCTATCGTATAAATTATTGCGGGAAAAGAAAGAGAGCGAAATATAGAGCGAGCGTAACGTTATTGATCACCGTTAAAACGCGTGACACGGGTGAACGTGTAACTTTAAACCAGATCGCAAGAACCAGATCGCGGAATGCGTATCTGTTTTCGTATTTTTCGCCACGTACATTTTTTTGTACCACGCGGAACAGCCGGTGATAACATTTGGCGATAACAACGTCGCGGGAATTTCTGTTGAAATCAGATCGACTAATGGAAACGGCGTTTAACGCGTAATATTAATAAAATTTAACGTTCACGTCTACGGTCTCTCGGAAAGTTCTCAAGCCGCGTAGAAACGGCGATACGATAACGGGATAAAATACAGAATGCGAGGGTCGGAGGGGATAGAAAGGGCAGAAACAGAATTTTCCACGCTACCGTGAGTTATGAAGCATTGTTCGCGCGACACAGGATCCTAGGGATCGTATCGACCACACTTTTGATCGTATAATTCCTTCTAACTAGGTTAAAGGAATATTTGAGGGAACTATCTATCTCCAGCAGCAAGGTTAATTTTTCCTACCGCAAAGTTTCCATTTTTTTTTCTATTTTTTTTTTTCCCCTTTCTTTCACTCTCTTTTCTCTCTATTCTCGTTTTTT